CCGCCACAATTTAAATTAAATGTAAAAAAATCCGCATTTTACAGCGTGAAAGAGTTTCTACGGCAACAGTGAATTGAATAACTATAGTTTAGATGTTTTGTATTGTTTTTTTTATTGTATTTTTCCATTATTTTCTTTTTGGACGAGGTACATTGTTTACATTTCCATGAAATATACATTATTTTTTAATTATATGAGAATTGTTTTAGTATTTGGTGGAAAATGAATAAAAGCAAAACAAGTAGGTATAAATTGTGCACAGATAAAGCCCATTTTCTTAAACCGAAATTGCTTAGTAAATGGTTGCGTTTAAGGTAATAGCAATAGCGCTAGATTTATCGATGTTTTCTTTCTTGTTAGATTAATAGGGAGACTTCACAAATAGACCTTTGTACCATCCTTCGACAATGTGTTTCTCGAGCTATAAGGAATTATTTATATCCGATCACGATAAGGAGTCTAGAAGGAGAGTATGATTGGTAGAAATTAATTTCTTTTCGGCGAGACCTTTCATTTGAGTACCATGAAGAATCCCCCCCTCATGGAGGGGCCCCCTTGAGACAGCGAAATTTAATATTAAATACTAAACATAACCTATAATTTAATCCTCCTTTGGTTCTTTTTCGTTTGTTTATTTTTCTCTTGTCGTCTTATTACTTTCGCTGTTTTCAAAACAGCTTTTTTCAAGACTCTCAGTTTCTTTCGAATATTTACAAGGTGAATAAATTATTTTTTGAATTATAGATTCTACCTTGTACCTTCTACCTACTGCAAAAAATTCCAGAACTCTAGGACCAGTCCCCTAAAAGTATTTCAAAACCGCAGAACTGGGTCCGGATGGACGGACAAAACGCAAACAAAAAAATTGCGTGGCAAGGTCTATTTTCGCTTCGGGTACATTCGGAAAAATTGGCCGCCCTTTTCACACCGGCATACAAATATAGGACATTTTCGTAGTTTTGCTTCATTTTTCTTCAGTAATACTGCATTTCTTATGTTATAAAATATTATAAACCGTTTTGATACTTTACTTGAGGGTTAAATGCAAAACTTTGTATCAGAAGCTTTTTTTTAGTTGATAGAATTCTTATTTTTTATTAGGTTAAGTTTCGACTGGTCCTTGGGACCTATGTGAGTGGATATGTTTTGTTAAAAAATGCATTTTGGCAGCCCTACGGTGTTGATTCTATTTGGTTAGGTTTTAAAAGGGGTGTTTTTTTTTGGTTTAAGAGGCCGGGATGATCTTTACGAGGTGGGTTTAAGGATTTCAAATTATTCGAGTGTGTTTGGTTTACTAATCGTCGGTCTAATTTTTTTAATTTGTCATGATATTTAAATGAATTTTATTTATTTTTATTTTATTTTTGAGTGGGCGGGGTTTCCATAAAAATCAAAAAAATGCGCTATTTGGCCACTTCTGAAGAGCTATTGTTCTACTTTTTTCGCTATTTGCTTCGTTATGGTGTCGAGGTTTGCACCAAGGAAGTTTCTTATTAAAAAAGTTACAGTAAAAAATCATTGTTTTCACGTGTACCACAATTTTACACTCTTGCCGTTTATTATCGTTGCCGTTGTATTGTGTGTGTGTCTGCCTGTTGTCTGTGTGTCTGTCTGTCCATCTGCCTGCCCGCCCGTTTGTCCGTGTGCACGATAACTTTGGGCAAAAACTTAGGTCGCTTTGAAAATCGGTACGCATATATCTCAAGGATATAAGAAAAGTCGCTATTGTTTTTCAGCTACGTAGACTAACGGGCCAAAAAGTTACACAACCCAAAAAGTGGCCAAACCTCCAAAAAATGGGGTTTTTGTATCAGTTTTGCTACAAAGAACATATGAATGTCCGGGTTTTCTGTGTTACTACATATTCCTTAAACCCGAGCTTAAACCTCAAGCAACTATGCAGACGAATTAAAAAAATTTGCGCATGCGCAACCCAACTTTTGTATTTGCGCTATCCAATTTTTAATTTGTTAACAGATTTAAATGAAATTTTGTATGTACGCACCTGGAATAAAAGTAATACCGAGACTAATATCATTTGCTAATATCTACCAAATTAAAAAATTTGTTTTACAAGCTATGCTGATCTGAGGGGACAGAATCAACCCCTTAACAGGTGAAGTCGAGGGTGAAGTGTTGTAAAATTAATAATTGCACGAAGATCTCGATTATCGTTCAATATTCAGTTGTATCAGAATTTTGTGCTTCTACCTAAGATGATTTTTATAAAATGAAGTTGAAATGACATGTCGAAGAATAGGTTCTACATGCGCAGTGCTACTTTCTTGTGGACGGATTTTTTTTTAATTGCTGACAAGGAATTTGGCTGAAGTAACTAATAAGGTTTCGGCAAAGAGATTCTAGAAAAAATTCAGTGCGTCATTCAAAATTCGGTTAATATTAACAATCATTTGTATGCCTGTGCCTTAAAATAGGCAACAAGAAAGCATTTATTTACTAAATAAAGTTTCTCTCTTTAACTTGTTCATGGTAGCTTGTTTTAATTGGAATACACTGTATTTAGTAAACTAGAGTCAATATCGGGAAATTTTTTCAGAACATCTGTTGTATTGACTTATTATTGAGTTATGAGGAACTTTAGAACTATTAATGATCGTTTCAGGACTCTAAAGAAGTTCACCTTTCACGTAATTGGGAGCTGGTAAAGTGGATCCCCTTATTTTCAAGAGTAAGCTAGATTTCAAACTCTCTCTACGATTGATCAAGAATAATAACATATTACGCATCATTTTACCTATATATCGGACGGACTAACTTCACATGTGCCAATAAATTGCTCATAAGCAATTTTGCATAAATTGCGCTTGGAAAAAAACAAGGTTTTTCCTGTTTTGTTCATATCGAATATAAACATACAGGGTGTTGTAAACACAACGTAGTACCTACCAACTCACTACTTTCAGTTTGAAGCATGTGGATATCGCATACGCTGTATGATACCTACTGTCAATCTTCCTAAACATTATGCTTATAGAATAAAATGATTTCCGAAGACACCGAGGCGGGAACGAGGGCGGGAAACACTTTTTACTACGCACTATTGCAAACGAGTTTATAACTGGTAAGACAAGTTTATTTATTTTGTAATTTGATCATCCCTTTATTTGTTCAGCTCACAACTTTTCGATTTAGAATCGTACACGTTCTCCCAAAATGCATTAGGTTCAAGAAACTCTCGACAATGTGCACCCGAAGATAATGAGGAAGTATTTCAAGTGAAGGGGGATATATAGCGCCGATCGCGGTCTTTGTTTCAGAAATTTTAAAGAGCGCTCTTCATGTCGTCTTATATTTCATGTGGTTCACGTGGTCGAATTAAGCCCCCAAAAAACGGCGTGTAACCGGGTTCATTGTTCTCTTAATACGGTAACATCGCGCTGCACTATCTGAACGCTTTTTAATTGCTGCATTAAACGTTAGGTAGCTGGGCCATTGACACCGTTAAGTTAATCAATTAATGAACGTTTAGGGTTTTGGGTACACATCAAAATTCAGCACAGAGGTACACCGCTAAATGCCGTTCTAATCCTGAGATCTGAAAGCAGTCAGTCGCATGCATTAACCGAATTACGCACATCCCTTAACGAATCGATAATTACTGTCTATGAATCATTAGCGCAATACTGAAATAGAAAATAATAAAATATGAACTGAAACTAGGTAAGGGTAGACAATAGGGGGCCTAAAAAATAATTCCCTGTCCCTGTCAAATTTGTATTCTTTACAATGGAGAACGAAAAGAAATAGTTGTGACCACAGCGTCAGTTCTTTTTGTCAAGAAAGTATAAATAGTATTGTAGGAAAATATTTCAAAATGATTATTCCTTTTGAATGAATTTTTAAATTTATAAATTGCGACTGATCTTATATAAATGTGAATCCATAAAAGTGCAAAGCACGTGTAGTGTAAGAGGTCTTTCGTCCCTTTTAACCTCGCTTTTAACTTAGCGCGCACACGAAAGACTATTGTTAAATGTTATTGCACATAATAAAGTGATGCCGTATTTTAAATTGCGCCCTTTAGATTTGTCGCAAAAAAAACCTTTGTAGTAAAATGTTTAGGTATAGTTTTCGATAAATTCGACACTTCGGATAACACCGTCGAGTCATCCTGCATTTTAAAGTTATTGCTGAGACTAATAAGGTATACAGATGGTCCTAAATGAACAGGAAGAAATATAATTTAAAAGTAATAAATGGTCGCTGTAAATTACGAGTATAAAGACGACAAATTTCCAAGATTTATTGACATCGGGGCTTTAAGTCTATACGAAAGGGACTATCCAGTGTGAAATTCGGTGTACATTTTACAAGCAGTATCAAACAGGTCGAACTCGTGGGATACTGGTATTTTCCCGCATTACTTGATATTCCTCTGTATCTAAAAATATGGCTACAAACATGTCAGGCATCTTTCTAGGAAAAGGTTTATTCCCAATCTTCACATAAATTTTTAAAACGCATAGGAAACCCTATACAAGCAAATTTCCAAACGAAACATGTTGAACTTTTAGTTCTGTGGAGCTTCATCGAGTTAGCCCCCCGCAATTTTTAAATAGTTCTAGGGTTGTGCTAAATGGTGTTGATTCAATTTTAATTTGTGCTGATCTGGAAAATCAGTTTTTCTTCAATTGAAACGGGAAATAGTATATTGTAATACAAGTGCGGAAAGGGCTTTATTGAAAAACGCGTATGAAAGTTGGAGCACGAGCGTTAGCGAGTGCTCCAATCATACAAGTTTTTCAATAATCCTTTCCGCAAGTGTATTACATACTATTTTTTCTACGAAAGTTCTCGAATTTAAAGATTTAGAGAAAAATTTTATATCAAAATGTTAAAACAACAATTTCTGTATAAATCAAGTCGTAGTACGATTCTCGTGTTTATCTGTAAAAATATAAAATCAAGTCTTCGTGACGCCGCTACGTTGTCTTAGTTACCAACGAGTTGTTTATAAAAAGCCGGTTAGTAATTTTGCATGTAGTTTTGTACGAAGCAATTTCTTCAGTAAAACAAGAATTTAAAAGCTGAAAATGAGTGTTCATGAAGAAAGTGAGAGCGGCGATGAATTTATGTGCACTCCGCCTGAGGTTGCTGCAATGGCGGAATCAATTATGCCTGAGCTTTTGCCTGAAAAATCGAGAAATCGGTACGAAAAAGAACGAGAGAGGTTTTTTAATTGGTGTAAAATGAAACAAGTCAAGCGGTATACAGAAACCGTGTTGCTTGCCTATTTTGTCGAAAAATCTGGAAAATTGAAATCATCGACACTGTGGTCAATGTATTCCATGTTGAAAAGTATGTTGATTTTGCAAGACAACGTCGACATTTCCAAGTATGCCAAGTTACAATCGTTTTTGAAACGTAAATCTGTTGGTCACAAGCCGAAAAAATCGCTGACTTTTACGAGGCAACAAATCAGTACGTTTTTAGAGGAAGCACCCGATGAAACATTTTTAATGATGAAAGTAAGCACCTATACTTACCTACTATTTTTTCATGTCTATACATTTGTTATATGTCACACAAATAATGAAATTTATTTGTAGGTTGCTCTAATATTAGGAGTTGCTGGGGCTTGTCGTCGAGAGGAGTTGACGAAAATGACGGTGAACGATATCCAAGGCGAAGATACGTTTTTACTCGTAACGATTCCAGACTCCAAAACGCATGTTCCAAGAACTTTTTCTGTTACGGAGGAAAAAGAGAATTGGATACACTTGTACCAGAAATATAAAGCGCTTCGTCCTCAAAATGCTCAAACTTCGCGACTTTTTTTAAATTATAAAATGGGAAAATGTACCGTACAACCTGTGGGTATTAATACATTTGGAGCAATTCCTAAGAAAATTGCGAGTTACCTGAAATTGCCAAATGCTTCTAGTTTTACGGGTCATTGTTTTCGGCGTACCTCCGCAACGCTACTTGCTAATGCTGGAGCAGACCTTTTGAGTCTTAAACGTCATGGGGGCTGGCGGTCGTCGACGGTAGCGGAAGGATACGTAGATGGTTCTCTTCAAGGCAAATTAGAAGTATGTAACAAAATAATTGGTAATGCTTGTCAATCAAATGATCCTTGCACACCTTCGACATGTCAACCAGATGATCCTTGCAAGTTGCACATCTTCGACAGCGTCCACATCTACATTAATAACTTCTAAATGCTCTGTGTCAAATTCGTTACTTCCAGGTGTTAATATAAGTAACTGTTCATCATTTACCATTAATTTAAATATTACTAGCCAGAAGTAGCTGTAATTGTAAATTGTGGCATTAAAATAAAAAAAAGGTATATTTGTTTTTACTTAAGAGTGTGGAAAATAAGTGTGGAAAAATTTTTCCACACTAGTGCGACAAAACCCTACTTTCAAAGGCTACTTTTTTCTCAGAAAACAAGACTTTCATCACTTTCGTAGAAAAACAATTTTTTAAGGCGCAAATTCCACTACTACTGTAATGAGTTGTGCTCGATGCATATTGAATTGTGCCAGGGAAATATTCGAAAATAGTCGTTCGATACACGGTAGCTCCTGCACTCAAATTTCGGAGGGAAATGTGACTCCTTCTACGTTTTTTTACAGATATGGAATAAGAAATAAATAATAAATAAAAACGATTTTGCAAATTTTGGTTTTTTTCCGGATATCTTCGAAAGTAGTCGGAATGTTTTCAGTTTCAAAACGGCGTTTTGTTAAGCATCAAAATACGCAACTTTGCCAAATTTAAACTACCTACTATCTCCTACAGTTTCCCCATGGCATCCCTCGAATTTGGATCAGCCTGTATATGCAGAAAATTAGTGAAAAATATGCAAAAAGTTTTGATGTAGGTATATATGCAAACATATGCAAAATTATATATTTCTTGCATAATTTCCATGAAAAAAGGAATTAAGATAAACACTAGCAATAAGATGTTTCTCTAAGTTTTCTACAAGAAATGAGTGCCTCCTGAATTGATTTATAAGCACTAAGCAAAGAAACTTCTTTCTACATCAACAGAAGTAATAGGTGCATTAGAAAGGGCCGACAAAATATTGGGAGCAATTTCCAAACCTTCAATATCACCCATCAAAACACCGTAGAGCAAAAGAAAAAAAAATTGGTTTGGAAATGAAGAAATTACACATTAATTAAATCAATAAATCTTCCTTCTGGCTATTGCAGTATATTTCATGAACGCGTCTGTTATGAAAATCCTCAGAAATGTATTAAAAATTCAAATTAACATCGATTAAAACTAGCAAAAATTTCAATACATATTAAAATATGACCAATATGCAAATTTATAATGTAAATGCAAAGAATATCAAAATATGCAAAAATAAATCGGGTTTAAGTAATCGCTTCAAAATGTTGCGAATCGAAAATGCTCAAAATGTCATACGACTACCCACGAGACCCACAATATTAGCAGCCACGATCTCAAAAGGATACTTTTTTAGGTGCACCCATCCTACCCATTTGTCGTTTCGATGAAACTATTTCTGAGACCCGCAAATATCACACTTCCCATTCAAAATATCATGCCTCATCTGTGGCCAGTAATGCAACTCTCAAACGCGACCAAATGGACTGGGACATTTATCAATTACGCAGATTCTTTGTACTTTTGCAACCAAAAGTTCCCACTCTCTAATGTTCGATTTAAAAGGTAGTTTTGAGGGAACGAAGACGAACATTGAGAATGCCGTTCTGGGGATGCGGTTATTTTGTTTCAAGATCCAAGGGTCTAAATTATATATCGTCACTGTATGGAAAAATAAAAGATTCAAGTTCAGGCCCACCAATCTTTGTTGAACTTAAATCTGTAAATTGAGATTTGAGAAAGTCCTCTTCCTGGTAATCGCAAATGCGGTTATGCGTTAAGGGCGTTTTGTTTAAAATGCATTCGTTAATCGTCGCTGGACGACTGCAACTTTAATTTCAGAATTATTATTTAACAGGAATAAAGTATTCGTTTGGCATTTGAACGATAAACAAGTGTAAACGCTCCGTCGCGAAACAAAATTAAACGGGTATCATTGTGCGCGAGTGATATCTGGCGACCTTAAAGACGGTCCTAAAGTTATCACGTTAAAAAAACATGTATTCACAACAAACCGTACCGCAATCACAAAATGAAGTGATATTAAGCAACAAAATTATTCCAAGAAAACTTTCAACGTTCGCCAAATGAACAACAACTTTTTAATAACTGGAGATTAGCAGAGAACGAGAAGGTAAGTGACATGAATAGGGCGGACGAACTCCAAACTCAATTAAATAAAGTCCATAAAATGTATGAAGAACTGAGCAAAAAATACTCAGAGATAGAAAGCAGGCTGTCTAACAATACCAAAGAAGAAGAACAAAAGACAGTTGAATACCACACAGATGAAGAGGAATTAGCTTATGAGACAGGGTGGATCCGCCAAAAAATAGGAAGAAGAGAAAAATGAATACTTCGCTTACCCGTAGCCTACCGATAGATCTAGCCGTGACATTGATTTAGTGACGTCACAACTGGAGATGGGCCACTGCAAACGCGTGCGTACTCATTGAACCCGAAAACATTAAGTAATTACTTATTTTGAGCCGCAGGATTGTTATATGTTGTTTCCTAATTATAGACACGTGTTATTATGCAAAAATTTTATTAAATACGTACATCAACAACAAATACTCACTGAAAACCGAGCTGAAAACAAATAAAATTTAAACATTCTAATACACACATCTGCCTTTTTTAGCGTAACACAACGAAGTTGAGGTAAGGCTTATGTGCTCGTTGTTCCCTCGTCTGCCTATCTGTCTGTTCCATCGAGATCTCGGCCCCTGGACCACCTAGAGACTACAGATTTTCGGTCATTTGTAGTTGCAAAGGTCTATATTTTCCCGTAACTCATCATTTACATCCTTTTCATATATGATGACTGATTTTCAAAAATGGTGGGATACGTGTCTTGGGCAAGTTTAATCTGGTCTCGTGGAACTGTTAATACTGTATCGTCTTATCTAGTCATCTTGTCTACCCGAATAATGAAAATGTCGGAGAAATGCTTTATATAAACCCTGGGGTAACTAGTAATTTCAAAATTGTCCCGGTGAATACATCTTAACCACTTTTTTTGATGTCTTCATTTTTCGGAAAACGAAAAACCGTAAGGAACCTTGTCTCTTGAACTATAATTGCTTTTGCAACCAGGGACGCAGCACGTATTTTCATTTTCTTACTTATTCTGTTCGAATACAGTTAATTTAAGTGTACAACATTAAACTACTTGGAATTAATTACATTAAAAGTCGATATGACGGCCGCCGTCAGTTGTGACGTCAACGCAATAGTGGGGATGAGTGTCACGGCTAGTTCTATCGGTAGGCTACGGCTTACCCCACCGCAAAAACAACAACAAGAACAAAAACAAGCTGATAGGAATAATGAAGAAATACCTAAAAAAATAAAACCACCTCCACCTATCCTAGTAGACAACATAGAGAATCTCAATTAACTCCATGCTATGATCAATCAATTCACTAACGCACAGATTAAAGTCATTAACAACAAAAATATGAAAATTAATGTACAGGACCAAAAAGAATATTCTTGGCATTCTTACGAGAATAAACAAAATAGGTCAATTAAAGTAATGGCCAACAGACTGCACCATTCTATAAAATCAGAACACATAGTCCAGGAAATGAGAAAACGTGGCTACAAACTTCTTGAAGCCACTCCCAAACTAAAATATAAAACGAAACAACCGCTGAATATGTTTATGCTTTGGTTCAGAGATGACGAGAGTATCGATAAAATCTACGGTATTACCGATATATTAGGTGTCCGAGTAGAAATCCTGCCGCTAAGGAAATCTAAACTCGTACCCCAATGCAAAAAGTGCCAAGCATATGGCCATACACAAAAATTTTGTTATAAAGAGCCACCTGATAAACACCTAACAGTAAACTTTCATTTCAACCGAATGAAAGTGAAGACACATTAGATTGGGAAAACCTTAACCACAACCACGGAGAGGGCGAAATCAGACCCACCACTCCAAAAGAAGTTGCATTTGGCTCTTGGGCAGACATTCCACCTTGTCAATATACAACAAAATACTATTGTATAAACAGATCCTTAAGCCCGTATGGTCATATGGCATCCAGGTGTGGGGTTGTGCCAGAAAGACTAATATAGACATCATACAGCGGCAGTGTTTTCAGAATAAAGTACTGAGGAACATTGTTAACCTCGTTGTTAACGCACCTTGGTACTTCAGAAACAATGACCTGCTTAGAGATTAGGAAATGGAAACTGCGAGCCAACCCATTGAAAAACTTGCCAGAAGTTATGAGCAGCGACTACTCCATCACGTCAACATTTTAACGGTATTTATTTACTCATAAATCTCTAATCGTGGCAATAGAGAACTACTATTACTAATATTACTTTAGGTATGGCTTTGAATGTGATCGATAACGGTAATAAACAAACGGAAGTCGATTTATGTATTATATATGCTGTAGGTATATTGATTTAGGAAAAAAAGCAATCGTATAAAATTACTAACCATTTATTTTAAGATTAAGCACAAAGAAATTTTCCAAGCATATATGACCCGTAATGTGACCATTACTCTAATGATAATGTACCTTGCGATATACCTATCCGATAAAAAGTAATATTATCAAATGTTTATAATTATAACGTTATACACGAGAGGTTATATTCTACTTGGTATTTAAACAGAAGTTGAAATAGTACTCGACTTATATAAATATCGCACTTCAAATTTCCATGTTATATAATTCCTGACTTCTTACTGTTCTTTAGGACGTCTAAAGCAAATGTCAATATCTTATACAGGGTGTTCCGTGCCTCGATGGACATAGCTTACCACTCGGCTTAACACTATATTCATTGGTCAATTTTAAGGCGAAATTGCCTTATACACTTGGACAAAACTCGATAATTACGGAGTTACGAGCAATATTAAATTTAACAATAAATCGATCTAGTAGACCATGCAATTGTTTTATCATATTGTTTATAGTGACATTGTTTATTCTTTAACCTTGAAATTTTAAGATTAAATTGATATGGCTACATTTACAAATCAAGAATATGGGAATATTACTTTATTTACGGATACTGTGACGAAAATGCATCAAGAGCGGCAGCG